ACTGAGGACAGGGAGGGACTTTTGGGAGGCTGCTTAGAAGACCAGATCCATACCAGACACCCTTTTTAACTTTTCTCTGTCTCTTCCCTGTCACCTCCTCACCTCTCACCAATGCTTCTCAAAGGAGTGTTCTGTCCCCACAACCTCTTTCCTCTGTCTATTTACTCCACCAGCTGCAGGGGGCTCCCCCCTTCCCATTCTAGACCTGTAGCCCCTCTCCCCCCAGCCCCCTCTCCTTACACTGCTGTCACCATACCCCAGTGACCTCCTTATCCAGCCATAGTCTCAGCCTTTGTTTTGTGGGACTTCTTGACCACCATGTTCCCCTTAAAGTATCTTTTCTTTTTAAAGCTTATATATTTATTTTGAGAAAGAGGGAGACAGAAACAGAGAGAGCCAGCGGGGAGGGGCAGAGAGAGAGGGAGAGAAAGAATGCCAGGTAGGCTCTGAGCTGTCAACACAGAGCCCGATGTAGGGCTTGATCTCACAAACTGAGATCATGACCTTGGCCGAAATCAAGAGTCAGATGCTTAACCGATGGAGCCACCCAGACACACCCCCAAGTATCTTTTGAATTGGTAACTCATTTATGGTTCAAACCCAGAAGAAGCATAAAAAGGAAAGAGCAGTGTCTTTCCCATCCTTGTCTCTCATTTGCCCACAGACAGCCCCTGCTCTTAGTCTCTTATGTATCCTTCGAGACGTTCTTTATGTGCATATCAGCAAATCCAAATTGATTTGTATTTAGTGACAAATAAGAATGTGGCTTCTTATTTTTTCCCCTTCCTAACACAAACAGTAGTAGAATATTACACACATACTTCGTGTCTATGCTTTTTTTGTTTAACAAGTGAAAACAACACACATGCATGGATACTGGGCATCTGATGCTTACCTTGTTCCAACTACTCGTTACCACCCAAACTTGCTTCTCCTCTTATAGTCCTTGACACAATTGGTGGTGGCAGTAGGGAGGGATTAGGGTCATTTATCAAGTCACTGAAGGCAGAAACCTGAGAGTCCTTTCTGACCACTCTTCCAGTGTCATCCAGAATATCCACAGACCCATCTTTTCTTTTTCTTCATTCCTACCACCACTGGCTGGAGTGAAGAACTTTGTCCTTCAGGAATCCTTTGCCAAAAACTCCTTGTGATTCACCCAACTGTTCATTCCCATAGTATCCTGTATATACCCACATCACTGAAATTGTCATGATGACTGATGTGACTCTTCTCTCACTAGACTGTGGGCCCTTGAGTGCAGAGATGTATTTATTTCATGTTTTACCTGTAGGGACATAATGGACGCTAAATGAAAAAAATGAAAGAACAGCAGATGTCCCCAAAAAAGTTCACTTGGTAATCTGTTAAGTGACTGTATATTTTGGAGCAGTGATGGAGATTGATGTATCTCAGAGGATCCTTGGTTTTGGGGTGGATGCAATGAACAGAGATCCAGGTTCTAGGCAGAAGGGCAGGTTTTCATTCTTCAGACCTGGTAATATGTGGGTTACACATTTCATAGTTACTGTATGATTTGGTGGGTCATATACTTGCATATGGATCAGTCAAAGCTTAGAAGAGTCTAGAGAAGTAAGTTCAGAGAGTTATAAACACAGAGTGGCTGAAGTAAAGGTGTGATGAGATCACCTAAAGGTAATCTATAGTGAGAAGAAGGATAAAGAGAGAATCCTGGATGACATGACCATCATTTGGTGTATGAGAAGGGAAAAAGAGAAAGCGGTGAGTGGAAGATAAAAGATAGAAAAGTTGTCATGGAATCCCAAGGAGGAAAGGGTTTCAAGCAGATGGTTTAGGGGCCGACAGTGTCAATTGCTGCCAAAATGTTCAGCAACATGAGGACAATGGGATTTGACAACTCTGAGCTCTTTGGTGATCATAGCAGGGCAATTTTATTGCAGTGGGATGACTCAGGGTGAGAAAGGAAAGCCACGGATTTGGAGGACACTTGCTTATGAGGAGAAGAGGTGTATATATGTAGAGTAAGTGTAGAGTTTTGCTTTTAAGCTTTTTTTTCCCAAATTATAGGCAGAGTACATGTTCATGACTCAATATTGGAGCAGTATAGCAGAGTATTAAAAAGCCAAAAAGATCACCATAATCCTACCACTCACTCTAAGCTCTCCTGCTATTTAAGACAAGTTTTTTGGGAGGAGCACCTGGGTGGCTCAGTAGGATAAGCATCCAACTTAAGCTTAGGTCATGATTTCATGGCTGGCAAGTTCGAACCCTGCTTTAGGCTCTGTGCTGACAGCTTGGAGCCTGGAACCTGCTTCAGATTCCATGTCTCCCTCTCTTTCTGCCCCTTCCCCACTCATACTCTGTCTCTCTCTCTCTCTCTCTCAAAAACAAATAAACATTAAAATTTTTAAAAAATATATATTTTAAGTTTATTCATCCATTTTGAGAGAGAGAGAGAGACAGATGGGGGAGGGGCAGAGAGAGAAGGAGAGAGAGAATCCCAAGCATGCTGTGTCCTATCAGCATGGAGCCTGTTGTGGGACTTCTTGTTGGGCTCCATTTGGGGTCAAACCCACCTATGAACCATAAGATCATGACCTGAGTCAAAATCAAGAGTTGGACACTCAACAGACTGGGCCACCCAGGAGCCCCAACACTGCTGCTATTTTTAACCATTTCCTTCCAGTCTTTTTCACACATTGTACCAAGTTGGGAAGAGACCATATTAGTGATTATAGGTTCTGCTTCCACACACACAGAAGACTGGCTTTAGCAGCTGTCCCTGCATTAATTACCAGGATGGATTTGGTGGGTCTAATTGGCTAGATCCTTCTCCTTCTTCACTGCACCCTGGGTATTTTTCTGTATGGAGTTATTTAATTAGACAGAGATAAAACTTCTCATTAATTCATTCAACAAACATTTATTAGATGTCTACCATGTGCACTGCGTTAGTTGCTAAGGGATGGAGAGGTGAGGCAGACACTTGTCTCATGATGCTTGAATAGTGTCACTTGCAGAGGGCCTTCACTCCATCCTATGGTATACCCCTATTACACTCACCTGCCAGATCTTACAGACAGGCTCTCAGTTTCTCTTATATAACTTTCCCACTTGATATTTCCTCCAACATTAAAAAGTCTTTTGAAATCTTCCCCTTAATGTTAAATCATTAGCTTTCTTTTCCTATTTCTCTTCATAATGACACCTCCAGAAGTATAGTTGAAATTAAGATTGGTCCATATTTCATACTGTTTTTCAAGAATTGATTTTTAGAAGAGGAATTTATCCAGTCAGAAGATGTGAACTTTTTAAGGTATTTAGATACATATAGTGAGATTTCTTTCCAGAGACATTTCCACTAATTTAAACTTTTTTTTAAATTATTTTTTTATGTTTATTTATTTTTGAGAGACAGAGAGAGAGAGACAGAGTGTAAGTGGGAGAGGGGCAGAGAGAGAGAAAGAAACACAGAATCAGAAGCAGGCTCCAGGCCCTGAGCTGTCAACACAGACCCAGTCGTGGGGACTGAACCCAGGAACCGCAAGAATCATGCCCTGAGCTGAAGTGGGATGCTTAACCAACTGAACCACCCAGCCACCCCTCCACTAATTTAAATTCTTAACAGTGGTAAACAAAGTTACCTTCTTCACCTGAGAGAGGGTTAATTTGTTTATATGCTAAGTTGACTCAACCAGTATAAAGGGAAAGGTTGATGATAAAGAAGATGGAACAAGGTTCCTGAGAAGTAGTATTGCTGAGGTCTGGAGAAGGTGCTAGAAGATAGTTTTGTAGAAGAAAGCTCTCCTGTTGAGACAGGAGTTAAGGAGGGTGCTGCTACAAAGAGGGTTTGTAGATATGTTGAGAAATGGGGGCCTGAGGGAGTTTCTAGCTTGTGGACTCCATTTTCTTTGTACAGTAGGAAGCAAGTGCATCTCTGCAGAAAGGAGTAGGGATAAGGGGCATTAGGCTGATAGCTGAGGACAATGAAGATGGCTTGCAAGGGCTCTGTAGAAAATGGGACATCCCTGAAAAGTGCAGTTGCCCAGAGACTTGCATTTTGTTTGTAATTGTAAGGGAAAGCTTGATGCTAGGACTCTGTTTACAGGGTAGAGTGAAATTGAGAATTGGTGATTATTTGATTAATTTGATGAATGTTCCAAATTAGGAATACCAGGTCAGGGTATGTTTCCGACCTAAATTATACGAGGCAGTTGTCTGCAGTGATCAAATTAACCAGCTGATTGCCAAATCTGTGTTTCTCGCTGTCCGCTATGGACATAGCCTAAAGGACTAATAAGTGAACTGGACTCTGCCCCAATCTATTTTGGGATAATTGATGTCTTTGTACTTGTATCCCGGCAGCTTGGTATTAAACACTGAAGCTTTGTGAAGAATGTCAGTAGGCGATTTACTACATCAAAAAGCAGCCTTTCTCTTACAAAGCTTATCAATCAGAACTTTGGAGGGAATTTTCCAAGCCTCCTAAGGAAAATCATATGGAAAAATATTTGATTCCATGTGTTTTGCTTCATGAAGTGAATTTGGTTCAGAGTCTGAATGCTTATTTATGATTTTTATTTCTGCCTTCATGAATCACTTCAAAACAATTTCAGTTTTACATTTAAGTGGTTTTTGTCCTTAAAAATATTTACATTCACTGAAAGTTGGATTTGTTTTTGTCACTAACTGAAAAGTATCAGTGATTTTAACGTCTTGATAAGGAGAATCAATTATTGTGAAGAAACATTTCATTTTTTACTGTTTAAATATTTCCTTCCTAAATTGGTAGTTGATGTAACGCAGGCTATGAAGTGCATGGAGTCAGTTACTAAAGTAATTTGGGCTTTGAAATCCATTTTGTGAAATAACAATGTGATCTGAATATTTTAGGAATTGAGCGCAAAGTTCAAATTTCCTTTGTATGTTCTTAACCAACGCTGTGACGTGTCATTTACGTAGGCATGAAAACAAAGGTAACTAGTAGTTGCTTTAACTTTGACTCTTCTTTCCTTCAGCATCTCAGCCCATCTCGCATGTATTCAAGCCACACGACGGTGGTGGTGTGAGGTGCTGGAGGAATAGGGCCTGCTGTAACATTTCCTTCTTCTCAAAGACCTTACAACCTGTTGAGGTTTGCTGGCAGACCAAACTCCAATAAACAACAATTCTGTTTCAGTTTGAATATTGTGCTGATTAAAATGTGGCCATTTATGCTGAGAACAGCTTTTGGCATTGGAGATTTGTCATGTGCTCTTACCAGTTGTAAAATGGATAAGTAAGCAAAAGTTCAAAATGACAGAATTGTATCCTTTTGCATCTGGATTTTTCTCTGTTGCAGGATTGAAAAGAGTGACAAGTTGGTCAGGGCCTACTTATTTCTACAGCAGCTTGAAGGAAATGAGTGTAACTAATGATACCTGGAGACACCTAGGCTTCCTCAGTTTTGACCTCCCACCTAGAGGGGGGAAGCCTCCAGGTCTGAGGAGCTCAGAACCCACTTTTTCATTTGTTTTGTTTTCTGAGAAACTAGAAATCTATACTTTTTATAGAAAACCTATAATTTCTTTGTTTAAAAGTTTATTTATTTTGAGAGAAAGCGAGCACACAGGGGAGGGGCAGAGAGAGAGGGAGAGAGAGAGAATTCCAAGCAAGTTCTGCACTGTCAGCACAGAGCCCGATGCGGGGCTCGAACTCATGAGCTGTGAGATCATGACCTGAGCCGAAACCAAGAACTGGACACTTAACCGACTGAGCCACCCAGGCACCCTGGAAATCCAGGATTTCTAAATATTGGTATCTCATATGTACATGTTAGCCTGTTGCACCGGGGCCAGTTCAGCCTCAGGGTGTTGGTCTGAGACCTCTGAGTGGATGGTTTCTAAGCTCTAATTTTCTAGGTAAAAAGCCAGACTTTTCCACTGTCCTTAGAGGTCAATGCTTATGAAACACAAGGTGGAACATGTTCCTTTTCATTACTTAATCTGCTCAGCCTTATTTTTAAGTTTTGAAGAAATAAGAAGAGACCTATACCTGAATAAAAAAGAAGGCATGACTGAAATGCATTACACTGTTTTATTTTGATATTCTGGTTAAATTACACTGAAAGAAAGCATTCACTACATAGTCAATGGCATTTTTTTTTCAATGAACATACATAGTGATTTTTTAAATTTATTTTTTATTTTTTTAACATAATTGTCAAGTTAGCTAACCTACAGTGCATACAGTGTGCTCTTGGTTTTGGGGGTAGATCCCTGTGATTCACATAAAGCAGTGGAGGTGCATGCAATAAACTTCCACTTATAGTAGAACAATGTAAGATTAGATGTGTTGGTGAATGAAATCTACTGACCTTGATTTATTTATAAGATAAACATTTATTGAGAACTTACTATTGTACTGAGATGGAAGATCAACAAAATAGCTGATATTTGTGCAATTTGTAGCACGCATGTGATAATTAAAATTATATTTTCTCTCCTCTGCCCTCTTGCTTATAGCAAACTATGTGTATCAGTTGCATGATTTGGGAATAAGAGAGATAGGAAAAACACTTTGTGGGAAGCTCTTTGTTCCTTTTCTAAGCCTGCTAAAGTCTGTAAATAGTCTTCCACTGCCAGTTGGAGACTCATTTAGAGGCTTGCGAGGGTGCCCTGAGAAAGTCTTCATGAAAAGTTTGAGGAGCATCCCTGCAAGGTGTCAAATTAGCTCATTCTGAGTGCAGAAATTTATATAAGATTAATAGCAGTGAAAAGAAAACCAGTGAATACATCTTTATCATTAAGGTTTAAAAATCTAAATGTTCAGTTAGTTGAATTCGGAGTATTTGCCTAGAATGCTATATGCTTTCTGATTTTCCAGTAGGTGAATACTACTTTCCAGTGGTGAATATGAAGACAAAATTAATGTAGATCAAGTAACATGGAAAGAAAAAAGAGACAGCACTAGATACAGAAGCAGATAACAGGAGGAGAAAACTCAGACCTTGGCTTTTTAAGCCAGGTTACTGAACAGTAAATCTTGCCCATGACACCGTGTGTTATAATAGTGAACTCTTATAAGGCACATAGTAGATGCCAGGCAGTTCTATAACTTAATATATGTCATAGATGGATGCATTAGAAAAGGTACATAGAAAGACACCTAGATAGACGGAATTTAAGTTAATTTTACAAGGGCTTTTTTTCCCCCAATAAAGTCCATTTTAGACATCAGTTAAAGACTCCACTCAGGTGTCATTGAGAAGAGAAACCTCAATTCTCAGGAATCTGTGGACATTCAGTCACCAAGCCAGTGCCTAGAAGGAGTTAACCAGTAAGCACCCTTCAGGATGGAACTGTCAGATTTCGCCTGGTTCGAACCCATTGTCCATTAAAACCATTCAGAAATGATTAATCTCTGCTATACCATAAAACACATGAATGTCTTGCAACGTCAAGGGCTGTCAACATGAATGGAAATCATCATAGTGCTGTACTGTAAAAAATAGTTATTTAAGTTTGTAGGCATTTGATACTAGGGAAGTGGTTTTTCAGCTCCCATTATTGATTATACAAGATGTGTGTGTGTGTGTGTGTGTGTGTGTGTCTCTGTATATGTACGTGTATGCATTAACATGTATATTCATGCATATGCCCATGTGTTCATGTTTACACGAAGCTGATGACTTGACCAAAGAAATAAAGAGGAGAAAACTGTTGTATGGTCTTAAAAATCAATAAAAACTTACTGTTTGTTGTTGCCTTGTAGACAGAGCACTGACATGAAAGCTGGAATTTCTCATGCCTAAGGTACCTAAAACAGGAAAGAGGGAGGCAGCCTATGTGTGGGGATCAAAAAGTTCTAGGTGGGGTGGAAGGAGAATGCAGAGACCAAAAGCTAAGTAAGGTGTAACACATTAGGTATAACAGTGAATGATGGTGGGGGTGAGAGTAGCAGGGTTGCCAAAGGGTGTGAAAGGTGGAAGAATAACATTGGGCAGAGAGGAAATAGGGGTCATTGACCGGCATTACCTTCCCATACATCAGATTTGCTGGCTCTTTTCTCATTCTTTTCTTGGTCCTGTCAGGGCTTGACTAAGTAGATTCTGGCCCAGGTGATCCTGAGAACTCTCATGTACATAGTTTGAAACCAAACATTATGAGGGAGATAACTTTATTAAGTAGACATTAACTACACATTGAATTGGGTTTCTGGACCATATTTTGATGTGTCGTCTCCTTTTCCTCTTTGTGCTTACATGAGATTACACAGAGTTACAGACTGTATTTTTTAAACAAAGAGCTTTAAATAAATTCTTCCAGATGCTAAAGCTTCAGTGCTTCAAATAAAAAAATACAAGTATACCAGAAAAATTCATACATTAATTCATTGGTTCAATAAAATTTTCTTAGACTTTGCACTAAGCCCAAGGGACATGGCTGTGAAGAAGTCAAGAGGCCTGTCCTCCTAGGGTTTATAATCCAGTGGGGAAGGGTTAACTTTCTGTTTATATTCTTTCCAGGTCCTATCATGCACACTATTTGAATCAACCTTGCCTGTTTTAGAATCACGCATCCAGTATGGAAAATTTAGAAATTCATTTGGGAGTAGCAATACTAGAATTTGAATTTGTCTCTGGATCCAGTCAATCATAGAATTCCCAAATGTAGTGTCTCTTTTTGACAATGGGATAGACTTTCAGGATGAGATGTCAGTGTTGATAAGCCCATAGACAGTGATTCAAGACAGTGTCCTCATATTTATGGGGGAACATAAAGGTTACTTTATTCCTCCCTCTTTAACACACTAAGCTGAACGAGAGGATTCTTTAATAGCTAACACATAAAATTACTTCCATACTTACCTCAGCTCTCATAAAAAGTTTGGGTCATTTTTATCAAACAACTATATTTCTTAATAATGAAAGTGAAGTATAGAAAATTTAGTTTTGAAGCAGGATAAGAACGAAATATAATGCAGTTTTTGAAATCAAAGGAGATTTTCATGTTTCTGCCTCTTGACCATGGCTTTCAACCCAAATAACTTGAAGGAACCCATGACCAGCTTTGTATGAACTAGTGAAAGAATGTTTCCATCACCACTTAGTCAAAAATCTACATGTAATTATTAGTAATGATTTATAATCCTAAAGAAATATTTTCTGATAGTTCAAGGTACTTTTAAAAGATAGGTAACTTTCCAAAACCTGGGGAACTCCTTATTAGAAAGGATTGTAGTTTAAGAGACCAACCTGCCTTACACTAGTTGCTCCATGTTTTCTCTTTGTGTCCATGCCATACTCTACATTTTCACTCTGAAGTGTTCTGGGTGTGAATTTCATTACATATATATTTATATTTATTTACTTTAATTTATTTAGTTTTAAGTAGGCTCCATAACCAGCATGAGTTGCATGCTCTGATTGAGCCAGCCAGATGCCCCTATGTATTTATATTTTCAGTAAAGTGCTATGCTGTATTAACTGTTTTGCCATCTCTCCCATCAATAAATATTGGTACAGACTATCCTCTCATGTCTATAAATATCATCTACTTTGTCAATTTAAATTATTGTATTTCTGGGCGCCTGGGTGGCTCAGTCAGTTAAGTGTCCGACTTCAGTTCAGGTCATGATCTCATAGTTCATGGATCCGAGCCCCGTGTTGGGCTCTGTGCTGACAGCTAGCTCAGAGCCTGGAGCCTGTCTTTGGATTCTGTGTCTCCCTCTCTCTCTGATCCTCCCTTGCTCATGCTGTCTCTATCTCTCTCTCAAAAATAAATACAACATTTAAAAAATTAAAAAAAAAAATCATGATCTTGCGGTTCATGAGTTCAAGCCCCACATCAGGCTTTGCACTGTCAGTGCAGAACTTGCTTGGGATTCTCTTTCTCTGTTCCTTCCCCACTCTCTCTCTCTCTCAGAATAAATAAATAAACTTAGAAAAAAGCTTAAATTACTGCATTTCTGAATAGTTGGAGATTAAATTACTTAATCTCATTTTTAATTTGAATACAATTATACATATATATGCCAGAAAAAAGAGGTCATAATGTACATGTAAGTATTGGATACTGCTGATGTGCTGAGTAGCTTACTGATGCACTGAAGCCACTCACGCTGTGTTAGGGATTGCAGACCGTGTGCATCTCTTCCCAACTCTACATTCAGTAATG